TGTAGATATGAAATATGAAACTAATCACTCGAGATATCCCGGTATCAACACTAAACATGGTCTGAGGCGACCCAAGAATTAACACTGTAAACAAGGTCCAAGGCGACCCAAGAATTAACACTGTAAACATGGTCTAAGGCGACCCAAGATTTAACACTGTAAACAAGGTCTAAGGGGACCCAAGAATTAATTTCAGACCTTCAAGTCGTGTTCATTCAATAGAAAGTTTCTAGTTACACTTTAGAGAAAGAAATTTTATAAAAACTGTTTTCAACTGTATGTCAACCTTCTTTGGTTTCTAAATATGGTATTTAAAACGATGTTTGTGGATGACTGGATACATTTAAACTCCAATTAAACTACATTATCTTCATGATCTAACAACATTATCATTGATTTCTCCCACAACCACCAAAGGATTCCTCACTCCCAACTCATTGGATAAACCTGCCAGGAGTTGGTAAACATTTTGGTTACCCACTAGTGGGTATACGTAACACCCTGGACGTTATTTCATTGGAAAATCTTCTCATTACGTATTTGACATCAAGTAACAATGCCTTGGTACGTCATCTTCCATTGTGATGTCATAGTTCAAAGCATTTGGAAGCAGGAATATTGCATTTCCAAGAGAAACATGGTTTTCTAGATACAATACCTGAACATTGTGGGAGAAAGTTAGTTGATTTTCTAATTGCATATAGACACTCGTTAAATCTCGTGTCTTTATACAATTTGAAACTGAACAAACTCAAGTTAGATAAACCACCACTCATTGGGGCACCTCTATTTAACCCATGTGGTGTGTGATGCTTGGACAGTCTACTACAATGACATCAAAACTCAATCCATTAAGTCACCTTTTGTTACACTACATACTATCCAATTGTTGACTCATTCACCCCTAAAGTCACATTTGAACCTTACATGTACCCAATCATAGATTGGGCAAGTCTAGTTTAAATAGGTAGGGGAAAATGAGTTAAACTGTACTGCAGACATGCAGATATTGTATTTCATGTTAAACATGACCTAGATCAAAAAAGGATATTGTACTGAAGACAGGGAAATATCGAATGTGATGTATAATGTGACCTAGTAAAAAACACTATTCCTGGCTGCACTTATTTTCTAAATGCCCTTTTTCAAAATGATTGTATTAGCCGCTATAAAAGACACATGACGATTGATGGGACAGCTGTAAGAGGTTCCCTGTTAGCTGCTGCAGTGTATATTGATTGTAAAAGGTTGGTTAGATCAGCCCCAAGAGCTATCTGTGTAAGTAAACCAAGTAAACCAATAATACAGGATCTAGTAAGCAGTCTAAATCTTATTTGATACTCGATATCATAATCAAACTATGATTTTTATAAATGAAATTCATTATCTCAATATCAGCCCTTCCGAAATGAGATTCTATACCGATGAAATCCACATCAAAATCAGAGTGAAAAAATACAACATACCACTGGAGACACTTTCTAAGAATACAATGGAAATCCTTCAATACAGAGTTCGAGTTTATATCTATTAGATGTATGGTGCATCCTGTTTTGAGGAACAGAGCATCAGTTGATTGGATCATTAAAATTTCATAGGAAGGCTCTGATTAGTAATGTAATCTTCGCTAATGGTCCTTACTTTCGTATCACATGTAAAACAAAAAAATCAGAAACAGGGATGGGTTTTCTATTGTATACAGTACTAAAAGGGATGGTTTGTATAAAGTTACTAATAGAGATGGTTTGTATACAGCACAAATAGGGATGGTTTGTATACAGCACAAATAGGGATGGTTTGTATAGAGTTACTGATAGGGATGGTTTGTATACAGTAACTAATAGGGGTGGTTTGTATACAGTACTAACAGGAATTGTTTGTATAAAGTAACCAATAGGGATGGTTTGTATACAGTTACTGATAGGGATGGTTTGTATACAGTACTAACAGGAATTGTTTGTATAAAGTTACTTATAGAAATGGTTTGCATACAGCACAAATAGGGATGGTTTGTATACAGCACAAATAGGTATGGTTTGTATACAGCACAAATAGGGATGGTTTGTATAGAGTAATTAAAAGGGATGGTTTGTATAGAGTTACTGATAGGGATGGTCTGAAAACAGTAATTAAAAGGGTTGGTTTTGTATACAGTAACCAATAGGGATGGTTTGTATACAGTACTAACAGGAATTGTTTGTATAAAGTAACCAACAGGGATGGTTTGTATACAGTTACTGATAGGGATGGTTTGTATACAGTACTAACAGGAATTGTTTGTATAAAGTAACCAATAGGGATGGTTTGTATACAGTTACTGATAGGGATGGTTTGTATACAGTAACCAATAGGGATGGTTTGTATACAGTACTAACAGGAATCGTTTGTATAAAGTAACCAATAGGGATGTTTTGTATAAGTTACTGATAGGGATGGTTTGTACACAGTGCTAATAGGGATGGTTTGTATACAGTCCTTATAGGGATTGTTTGTATTGTATGTTTGTATAAAGTAACCAATAGGGATGTTTTGTATAAGTTACTGATAGGGATGGTTGGTATCCAGTAACTAATAGGGGGGTTTGTATACAGTAACTAATTGGGATGGTTTGTATACAGTACTTATAGGGATTGTTTGTATTGTATGTTTGTATAAAGTAACCAATAGGGATGTTTTGTATAAGTTACTGATAGGGATGGTTGGTATCCAGTAACTAATAGGGGGGTTTGTATACAGTAACTAATTGGGATGGTTTGTATACAGTACTACTAGGGATGGTTTGTATACAGTAACTAATTGGGATGGTTTGTATACAGTACTTATAGGGATGGTTTTTATACAGTACTAATATTGATGGTTTGTATACAGTACTAATAGGGATAGTTACTGATAGGGATGGTTTGTGTACAGTTACTGATATGGATGGTTTGTATACAGAACTAATAGGGATGGGTTGTATACAGTACTAATATGGAAACAGGAATTGTTTGTATAAAGTAACCAACAGGGATGGTTTGTATACAGTTACTTATAGGGATGGTTTGTACACAGTACTAATAGGGGTGGTTTGTATACACTACTGATAGGGATGGTTTGTACACAGTACTAATTGGGATGGTTTGTACACAGTACTAATTGGGATGGTTTGTACACAGTACTAATTGGGATGGTTTGTATACAGTACTGGTTTGTATAAGTTACTGATAGGGATGGTTTGTATACAGCACAAATAGATAGGGATGGTTTGTATACAGGCATACAGCACAAATAGGGATGGTTTGTATACAGCACAAATAGATAGGGATGGTTTGTATACAGGCATACAGCACAAATAGGGATGGTTTGTATACAACAGTACTAATATGGATGGTTTATATACAGTACGTATACAGTACTAATATGGATTGTTTGTATACAGTAATTAATAGGGTTGGTTTTGTATAAAGTAACCAATAGGGATGTTTTGTATAAGTTACTGATAGGGATGGTTGGTATCCAGTAACTAATAGGGGGGTTTGTATACAGTAACTAATGGGGGTGGTTTGTATACAGTACTGATATGGATGGTTTGTATAGTTACTGATAGGGAATAGGGATGGTTTGTATACAACAGTACTAATATGGATGGTTTGTATACAGAACTAATAGGGATGGGTTGTATACAGTTACTGATAAGGATGGTTTGTATACAGTACTACTAGGGATGGTTTGTATACAGTCCTTATAGGGATTGTTTGTATTGTATGTTTGTATAAAGTAACCAATAGGGATGTTTTGTATAAGTTACTGATAGGGATGGTTTGTGTAAAGTTACTGATATGGATGGTTTGTATACAGTAACTAATAGGGGTGGTTTGTATACAGTTACTAATAGGGATGGTTTGTACACAGTACTAATTGGGATGGTTTGTACACAGTACTAATTCGGATGGTTTGTATACAGTACTAATATGGATGGTTTGTATACAGTTACTGACAGGGATGGTTTGTTTACAGTTACTGATATGGAAGGTTTGTATACAGGTCTAATATGGATGGTTTGTATACAGTACTAATATGGATGGGTTGTGTACAGTTACTGATATGGATGGTTTGGAAAGTTACTGATAGGGATGGTTTGTATACAGTACTAATAGGGATGGTTTGTATACAGCACAAATAGGAATGGTTTGTATAGAGTAATTAATAGGGATGGTTTGTTTACAGTTACTGATATGGATGGTTTGTATACAGGTCTAATATGGATGGTTTGTGTACAGTTACTGATATGGATGGTTTGTAAAGTTACTGATAGGGATGGTTTGTACACAGTACTAATTGGGATGGTTTGTATACAGTACTAACATGGATGGTTTGTATACAGTAACTAATTGGGATGGTTTGTATACAGTACTAATATGGATGGTTTGTATACAGTACTAATATGGATGGTTTGTATAGAGTAATTAATAGGGATGGTTTGTGTACAGTTACTGATATGGATGGTTTGTATAGTTACTGATAGGGATGGTTTGTACACAGTACTAATTGGGATGGTTTGTATACAGTACTAATATGGATGGTTTGTATACAGTACTAATATGGATGGTTTGTATACAGTTACTGATAGGGATGGTTTGTGTAAAGTTACTGATATGGATGGTTTGTATACAGTTCTAATAGGGATGGTTTGTATACAGTACTAATATGGATGGTTTGTATACAGTAAATAATAGGGATGGTTTTTATACAGTACTAATATTGATGGTTTGTATACAGTACTAATATGGATGGTTTGTATACAGTACTAATAGGGATGGTTTGTATACAGTACTTATACGGATGGTTTGTATACAGTACTAATAGGGATGGTTTGTGTACAGTACTGATAGGGATGGTTTGTGTACAGTAAATACTATCATTATGGTCAAGTACAAGTTACTGTTATTATAATCTTATAAAATGCCTCTCCCAATTTTCAAAAAAAAATATCAGTAGATAATGAATGATATATCCCCCNGTATTTTCACTTGGTTTTTCTGTCTGTATTCTATTAAATGACCTATTTTGCAAAAGATTAAGACTTTGAAGGTATTTAAAATAGAACAGCTTAAAATTATGGTGCAAATTAGGGAACAAACTACACGTTAGGTAACAACAATAGTACATATTTCATGCCTATATATCACACGCATTTTGTAAATGCCTTATATTATGGCGGGCTCAAAACTGGCTGATTGACAGTTAAACAAGTTAATACTGAATCTCATACTGAACTTAATAAGCAAATTGGCTTAGCCATGATAGGTAATGGTCTAACATTCCAAAGACAATTTCCTGCCACTTGACAAATGGCTTTGTGGTAAAGATGATTTCAAAATAATTGTGTTCATAGAAAACAAAAGTTCCTGTATAGTAAACTTTGGGTAAACTTCAGACTCAGTTGTTCCAGACAAAATAATCTGCGTGAGAACTTGTTAGAAACCAATAAATCAATGATTCAGAGTGGATCTGAGTTATTTGTTGTAGGCGGGAATAATTTTAACGAAACACAAGTTCAAATTAACCTGCTTCAACTGCATACCGCCCCATTGTTATCATACAAAACAACATGTAAAACTTAGTACATTGTACTTGACAATATTTCATGATATTGCTTTGAACATTTTTGTGTGAGATTTTGAAATCAGGCACAGAATTATGGCAGATGTCTTGTTTCTTGTTATATCCCCTTAACTTCCAACCATGTATTTCTATATTTCATAATAATGATCTCAGTACCTTACATGTCATACATATTGATAATTTCACTACATTGATATATACATATATATATATATATACATCAATAATACAAACATTAAGTTACAACAATTAAACCAGTCTCAATTGATATTTGGCACCTAATCTGTCTATTACATTGTAGTCCAATCAATTAAGATTGAAAAGTTCATTTTGTACATTTTTTTTATGATGGGGAAAATCCATGCACAGGTCAAACACAATAACTATGAGAAAACATATACATGTATTTAGAAAAAAATAAAGATGTACATTACACTATAAATGATCATGTTGAATTAAAAATCGGTATTCGTAAAGTTCATCCTATAGTATAACCTCTCTAATTCAAAATTTAAACCATTGAATAGTTGTACTGTAATATAAAGATCTGTTTGGTATATATATAAGTCTGTGTTTCCCTCTACTCTGTTAAACAGAATTAATTATATCTTCTTCGGGGGAAAATTACCTTATCAGAACTTGGATTAAAACGGACCATTTTTGTAAACGTTTACCAGATCTAAATATACCGCTTAATGTACAGTGCAACGTTTAATTTACAAAAAAGAAAAGAATTTGTTTTACCCCTAGTATCCAATTCATGATTTCATATGTCAAATCACACCATAAACATTTTTTTCCTTACAAGAAGACCTTAACTTTGAATATCTGTCTAGAAATACAATACAATTATATTGCTACACTATATAACTCCTCCCCCATGAACATGTTGTTTCTACAGCATATTATAACACAACATATATTGCAAAGATTTGGATGCCTCCACTTCCCCCCCACATTATAATGGATACATGTACAAATGTATTTGTACATTTGAGTGGGGGAAGTGGGAGTAGAGATGGTTAATATGAAAAACACTGACCTTCATTAGCATAGCTAGGGTGTACAAACCTGAATATCTACAATTCATAAAACAACTTTTAAAGATATAAATAAAAAATAAATATTTATATCTTTTCTTACAGAAGACATTGTTCATCATAAATAGCTATGCAATAATAACACATTAATACAGTTTATTATATAAGTATTATTACTATATATACAGTAAAGATTTTGAATAACGATGTATACAAGAATATTGAAATCACTAAATATTGTGTCATTAACCACAATAGTCTACGTTTGCTCTGCCCCAACACCAGACTGTTTTGGTATAACATCTACCTGTCTACACGTCTATTGTCTGGTGTTGGGGCCTGAATAAACTCTGGCTACAACCATAGTAAAAGTTAGAATTTTAAAACAAATTCATATATAACTCGTGTACCTGTAAGTTAATTAGTGATGCACACGCGTAGTTGGGGTAGCATCAAAATACCTGGTACATACTTATAATGATTAATTATCTATAATAAATGAATGGAAAAAATTAGATCTGACTTCCAACAGTCTGATCATAAAACATATGACCATGTACTTAAATAGCAGCCTACTTTTAGAACATATTCTGTATAGCACATTTCAACATCAGGCCATTCCCGTTTGCAAATTTTGAGTAACAAAATGGCACAATATATAAAGTCCTTCAGTTTTTCAAAACAACTTAACTTAAATTTCCCCATAGGGAAAGCATTGCTTATATAAAGGGAAGATCTTCACTTAGTAAAAGGAATGTTTGTGAAAATAGAGCCAAAACTTGCGCTTTCAAAAATAAATTCATAAATAAAAATTAAATTGACCACCACTTTGAAGATGCTGGGTTTCAACATTTAATCAACACTGGCAGAGGCACCAGTTCACTTTCTTAAATTTTCCAGCTTTTATTATTTTCTATGTTTGTATGATCATGACTTTCTCTCACATCTGTATATGTATGTACAACTGACATTAGAAAAGAGTTCTGATGAAATCTGTTCCCAGTCATTTTATATTCAAAATATACCAAAATGAGTTTAATTTGGTTTCAAGTCATGTAATAAACTTTAGTCCTTCCACTTTTCACCATAAAACTATTATATCAGTTATATAATAAGGATTGCAAGTGACCCACTTTAGGATTACAGAGGAGCTATAGTCAGACCTCTAACTGTTAGGCCACAGGCTTAAGCATACTTATAGTCCTAACTCAACCACTGGAGTATTGTCTCAGCCAATCAGAATCTAGAACGGCCATGTTAAATGCTCAAAATGTAAAAGTCAACCTTTTTACAGTAAGTTCATGATCATCCGTTACATATCACCGTCACAACATATCAACAAAGTCGGTCCCATATGAACTAAAGTTATAACAGTTATTGTCTCAGCCAACCTGAGGCCATGGTCACCATCTTGAATCCCAAAAATTTGAAGCTATATTTGATGCGGAGTATAACCCCTATGCATTTCTTCAAGAAAGATTCACTATCTTTTGGAAAAAATTGTTTGCCTTTGTATATTTTACTGTATAAGTTCACGTGATTAACAACAGCATTCTTGATAGATGTGAAATAAAGTGACTTATGACCATGGTACCTGCAAGGTGACTCTTCGCAACCTATTTAGCTTAAATTGTCACCATAATGTGACCTTACTCAAATAAAAAATATATGGCATTTGACAAAACTAAGCAAAATATTTAAACTACATAAATTTAGTACAATGATGTTTAAAGTTGTCTTATAACCATTAGGCCATATTACAGAACAAGGGTTGTTCATGTGTTTAATTTATTACAGAACTATTTCTGCAATTAGTACTAGCCGAAAAGGAGAAATATGAAATGGATAAGTTATACGAAGGAAAGAACAGAGTTAATACTATCTTATAGAATTGTTTCTTAGAACAAACGTCTAGTGTATGATGTCATAATGCCATACAATATTAAATATAAAAAAATTGCCCGCAATTTATGTACTTCAGGGGTGAAAAAGTTTGTAATGTAGCCTGCTAAGAGGGCATAACCTGTCGACACGTACCGAATAAATCTGAAGAGACCTATATATATGTATACCCTGAGGCTGTTGTGATTGATACTTTTACCCGATTCTCTTATGTAAGTGACAAAAAAAATAATGGTAAAACTAATCTGAACGAACTTGTGTAATCCTGAAACATACAAGTAGGTCACATATAGTATACATTTCTATGAATTGTAACCTAGAATCCACCCCTGTATGCAAACTGAATCCATGTGATCAAAAACATGTCGATTATCATATTGTTCTCTTAAGTTTTGGTTCAGAAAAGTTTCACCATATTAAACACCAACAATTTTAGAAGTTATTGATGAAATGAGCGTTGTTGCCATTCTGATCACTGAATACAGGTTACAAGCATTAGTCTATTATGTAGTGTTACTCTCTTCTGAGTAGATCAAGATGGTGTTTTATTAGATCAGTCTTATTAATGGTGAAATATATATATGTATGGCCTTTACATATATATATTCATGATCAGATCAATGTTATATTAGTACATCAGAAAATAGCTTATCATGTATGTATACATAATGTATATGATGTTAAATAGAGTAACAACATCCATAAATATCCTATTTGAGGAATAGATATCACTTTCTTTCTTAATATTAGTGTATATATAGGCTACCTGTAGCTTAAGTACATACCTAGGGTAATTAACTAACTGAGGAAATTAAGTGCATCAATTCTTTTTATATGCACATATGATAGATTTGTTGCAATATAGGGACAACAGTCATGTTCCTAATTTCCTAATTTTCTTCTTCAACAAACTTCAGCTGAAATACAGACAGTACACACAAAGGTAAAAATGAAACATTCAGCTGAAGTACAGTACACACAAAGGTAAAATAAAAACATATTTTGATGGATTTAAAAAAAATAATAACAACAGGAAGCAATTTGTGACCTTGAAGGAGGTCACTATACATGAAGATGGATTGGACTTTTTTGAGGTTTGTTCAGACCTAAGTGACTCCCAATGCTCAGAGTCGTTTATAGAGATTCGTTGTTTTCCTGCAATACAAAGTAGGGGATTTGGAACTGGCTGACAGGGAAATCAGTTAGCCACTCTCCCCCGGGGTACTCCACCCCATGCATAGGGTCTAGCCAACTGCCCTTTGGCAGGTAAATGTTCCTTTTCCTGACCCCAGAACACAACACAGGGGCAACCAGAACCCTGTCCCCTAAAAGGAACTCGTCCCCTAAACTGTGCGTGTCCTCGTCTAGGGGATCCAACCACCATACAGGTCGTATGAAGGGACTAGTCTCTGATACCTGTGTTCGTAACTGTTCCAAGATCGGAACTACAAAGTCTTGTCTAAATTGAGAGAGATTTTGAGCATGCAAGATGATATCATCTCCACAGAATTGTATGTTCGATGGAACTTTTAGTGCCGGGAAGAAGACAGATAACTGTAGCCACCTTACAAAGGAATCGATAGTGTCATTGTCTAAATTAATATTGCCTTTTGCAGAAGATAAGATATATGGATAGCCATACAGGCCCAACGTCAGTGCTTCAGACAGTGACTCTGTAACACAGCTTGCATTGTTTTCATTCACCACAAAGTCAACAGACACCTCAACGAATGCATGCTTGTCCTGTGATCGGAACATTCCCTTTGTGACAAGATGTTCGCTCAAAATGTTTAACAAGTCTATCCACTTGCCGTAGACCTCTCGGTCTAATAGATCTGATCCATTGGAATGTCTCACCATAAACATCTGAGGTATTGGCAAAAACTTGAAATTTCTTATGCCATGTGTTGTAGAAATGTTTGAAATTGCATCAGAAAACCAGGACGAGAAATCGTCATTGTCAATGTCCCAGACAACCACCTGAGTATTACTGTGTGTGAGCACTTTGGCACCCAGCGATAAAGTATCAATCAAAAATAAATTGTTCTTAATCCCAAAACTAAATGAAGGAGAATTCAAAGAGCAGAGTGGACTGAGATTCAACATAAAATCACAGTCGGTGGAAAGCATTGATATGGCTGAACTGATACTTGGAGATATTGCTTTATTAAATTTGAGGTCACCTAGTTCCTGTTGCCAATGAGAATCAAGTTCCAAAACATTGCACGCAAAATTGGTTGATCCGAGAAAGTTTTTAAAAGTGATCAGTTGATCACCATAGGAGTCTTGGGAGCCCCCTACTTCTGCTGACCACAGGAAGTTGTCTGTGTACTTGACCTGCTCCGAGAGATTGCGAAGGGCCGGCAAGTGGAACTTTTTACTCACGGCTAGGTGAGTGGCCTTGACATCGTAACCCTGACAGGCAAAATAATTCAGATTCTTTCGGGCCTCGACACCGTTCAGTGCTGGTGATATACACATCTTCTGATGACTGCTTTCGTTCCAGCTGAGCTGATAGGGTCCACCTCCAGGAAGGTAAATAGCAGCACCTTTCGATGACAGAAAGTAATAATCTATCACGTCCATACCATTTCTCTCGTTATGGCCGAACCTACTGAGAGCCATTTTCCTCTGTGCGCTGATTGGCCAGGGCCCCGGTAACATGTTGTACCAATGACCAATGTCCATTTCAAAGCAGTCCTCGGGGAACACATTTATTGGGTTAACCCAGGACACGTTGTAGCAGATGACATCATCAATATTAAACGGTGTCATGTCTACCATGTTGCCATCATCCCATGAAATGCATCTCCCCTTTTTGTGTTTGTCTCGGTTGGGACATTTTTCTGTCGGACGTCCTGCGAATATTTCTCCACCTAAGTGTCCAATGGTGGTTCCCTCGTCCAACCGTTTGCCGACAATTGTCAAAAACTCTCCGTCAATTACAAACTTAAGGTCGGAATAGTCTTTGCCACTTGCATCATGCAGACTCCAAATAACAATAACCCCAACGGCCATAAATATGAACATACTTGTGACGATCACCTTGAGAATCTTTCTTTTTATGTTGGACTTTTTGCCATCAGCAGGAGGTTCCTGCAAAACAAACCAAGACATTTTTTGGTAAAAGCACATGTTTACATCACGAAAAAATCAACAAGAGAACATTAGGAAGATGGAATAACTAGACAATATTATAAAACACTTTATTTCCGTGTATAAGTTTTATTTACAAATACTTAAATATGCAATTTAGACGACGCTTTTTCAGTTTTGATAGTTATTATCCATAGAATTAATATTCCCCGAGGATTGAAATTTGTGAAAGAGTTTCCTCAGGAACATAAAAACATATCTTTCATGAAAACAATTGATCTACAGAAATAATGAAATACGGATATTTTGAATAGTAAAGCAGACTCAACAGCGGGAGAAATTATCGTTAAAAATATTTTACAGTTGATCGGCATATGTTGAACATACATGTATAATGTTTGACAACAATATTCTTGCCCAGAAGCTGACCCTTTGACTCCCCGATATGACCCCTTTTTATGGCCTCAGAGCTCTGATATGACCCCTTTTTATGGCCTCAGAGCTCCGATATGATCACATCCAATTGCAGAGGCATATGTCAAGCTGAATGTGCTAACACTAGTCTGTTAACAGTATACAATTTTAAAAGATGTAAAACACATATGCATATTACTGCAAATGTACATGCCTAGTTGTGACCCCTTTGATAGCCAGTTATAAACATGATACACTAAGTATGTATTTATACACTGCAGTTGACCCTCAGGCAATATTAAATATCATATATCAAAGTTCTGACAATTGAACATCAGAAGGAGATTTTCAAACACTTAATTAAATTATCTTTAGTCCTTAGAGCCCAATATTGCTTTTATTCAAAAAGGCACAGTGGCGACATCCCAAAGATATCTCTCAGATTATTCTTCGTTTCATCGTGTTTCACATGCAAACATATAACACTAAATTTGATGTGAACAATACATTTAATCAATACTTCATCAAAATAAAGAATATCTGTGATACATTTTTTTTAAAAGATCTCGTTACGAGGTCCAATAAAAGTCAACCTAACATCGAGAGTTGAACCTTGCCCCTAACCAGGTTGCAAAAACTGTCCAATGTTTTAGGCCTCATAGTTGACCCGGACTGGTTGAAGCACTTATAGTACCCATCTTCACTACCTAAACAAATCTAACTTCATATACATATATGAAGGTGTACATGTAAGCAGAAGGATCAATTAAAATTACTTGTATTGATCAACAGATGATCATGACAGAACAGTTATTTAAACAAGAGGCCCAGAGGGCCTGTATCGCTCACCTGACTATGTTTAAAATAATTGGTATGAAGTAAAGATATAGCACTCCATGGTAGGTGCTGTAAGTACATTTCAGGAAGATCCATCCAGAACTTGAGATACAGCGAGAACAAACTTCAAACAGAGCCCCACCCCTATGCCCCTAGGGGGTCATACCCACCATTTATACAAAATTGAGTCCCCTTGGCCAAAGGCTGCTCTGGACTAAATAAGGATAAAATCCCGCCCATCAAGCCCCTGGGGGGTCAGACCCACGGTTTATACAAAATTGGTTTCACTCCACCCAAGGATGATTCAGACTAAATATGGAACAAATCTTTCCATTCCTACAGAAGAAGAAGGATTTTAAAGAATAATTTGCTATGTTTCCCCTATTGGGCCCGGCCGCCAATCAGGTCCCTGGGGGGCCAGACCCATGGTTTATACAAAACTGGTTCCCCTTCACCAAAGGATGCTTCAGACTAAATATGGAACAAATCCTTTCATTCTTACAGAATAAGAGGGATTTTAAAGAATTTGCTATGTTTCTCCTATTGGGCCCCCCCGCCCCTCAGGCCCCCCAGACCCACAGCTTATACAAAATTGGTTCCCCTTCACCCAAGGATGATTCAGAATAAATATGGAACAAATCCTTTCATTCCTACAGAAAAATAAGGATTTCAAATAATTTGTTATATTTCCCCTATTGGGCCCTGCCCTTCAGCCCCCAGGGGGGCCAGATCAACTGTTTATACAAAGTTGGTTCCCCTTTACCCAATGATGATCCACACAAAATATGGAACAAATCTTTTCATTTCTACAGAAGAAGAAGGATTTTAAAGAATAATTTGCTATGTTTCCCCTATTGGGCCCTGCCCCTCAAGCCCCTGGGGGGTCAGACCCAAGGTTTATACAAAATTGGTTCCAATTCACCCAAGGATGATTCAGACTAAATATGGAACAAATCCTTTCATTCCTATAGAAGAAAAAGGATTTTAAAGAATTTGTTACATTCCCCCTATTGGGCACCGCCCCTCAGCCCAAGAAATGTCCATGATGTCATTTATAAGTCTTACAACCAAGAAAGTCCATGATGTCATTTATAAGAATTACACCAAAGAAAGAACCTGTTGTCATTTATACGTCTTACACCCAAAGAACCTCATGTCATTTATAAGACTTACACCCAAAGAACCTTATGTCATTTATACGTCTTACACCCAAAGAACCGCATGTCATTTATACGTCTTACACCCAAAGAACCGCATGTCATTTATAAGACTTACACCCAAAGAACCGCATGTCATTTATACGACTTACACCCAAAGAACCGCATGTCATTTATAAGACTTACACCCAAAGAACCTCATGTCATTTATACGTCTTACACCCAAAGAACCGCATGTCATTTATAAGATTTACACCCAAAAAACCTCATGTCATTTATACGACTTACACCAAAAAATCTGCATGTCATTTATAAGACTTACACCCAAAGAACCTCATGTCATTTATACGACTTACACCCAAAGAACCGCATGTCATTTATAAGATTTACACCCAAAAAACCTCATGTCATTTATACGACTTACACCAAAAAATCTGCATGTCATTTATAAGACTTACACCCAAAGAACCTCATGTCATTTATACGACTTACACCCAAAGAACCTCATGTCATTTATACGACTTACACCCAAAGAACCTCATGTCATTTATAAGAGTTACACACAAATAACCTCATGTCATTTATAAGACTTACACCCAAAGAACCTCATGTCATTTATAAGACTTACACCCAAAGAACCGCATGTCATTTATAAGACTTACACCCAAATAACCTCATGTCATTTATAAGACTTACACCCAAAGAACCTCCTGTCATGTCATTTATAAGACTTACACCTAAAGAACCGCATGTCATTTATAAGACTTACACCCAAAGAACCTGATGTCATTTATACGACTTACACCCAAAGAACCTCATGTCATTTATAAGACTTACACCTAAAGAACCTCATGTCATTTATAAGTCTTACACCTAAAGAACCTCATGTCATTTATAAGTCTTACACCCAAAGACCCGCATGTCATTTATAAGAATTACACCCAAAGAAACTCATGTCATTTATAAGTCTTGCACCTAAAGAACCTCATGTCATTTATGAGAGTTACACACAAATACCCTCAGGTCATTTATAAGACTTACACTAAAAGAAAATCCTGTCATGTCATTTATAAGAGTTACACACAGATAACCTCAGGTCATTTACAAGACTTACACCCAAAGATCTGCATGTCATTTATAAGAATTACAGCCAAAGAACCGCATGTCATTTATAAGACTTACACCCAAAGAACCTCATGTCATTTATAAGAGTTACACACAAATAACCTCAGGTCATTTATAAGACTTACACCCAAAGAACCTCATGTCATTTATAAGACTTACACCCAAAGAACTGCATGTCATTTATAAGAGTTACACCCAAAGAACCTCATGTCATTTATAAGACTTACACCCAAAGAACCTCATGTCATGTCATTTATAAGACTTACACCTAAAGAAGCTCATGTCATTTATAAGTCTTACACCCAAAGAACCGCATGTCATTTATAAGACTTACTCCCAAAGAACCTTATGTCATTTATAAGACCCAGAGAACCTCATGTCATTTATAAGACTTACACCCAAAGAACCGCATGTCATTTATAAGACTTACACCCAAAGAACCTCATGTCATTTATAAGACTTACACCCAAAGAACCTCATAAGTAAGCTGATAACATAAGATCAATATATTGTTAAAGTTTCCCATACATCAATATAGTGTATCACTTCATCAATATAGTGTTATATTTTACCACAACATTAATATAGTTATTGATTTTACCACTACATCAATATAGTAATATATTTTACCACAATATGATGTCAACATCAATAGTGTTTGATTTTACCAATACATCAATATTATATAGTTATAAATTTTACCACTACATCAATTTAGTAATAGATTTTACCACTATATCAATAGTGTGTTAGATTTTACCACTATATCAATATGATGTTAGATTTGAACACAACATCAATATAATGTAGTGTGACATTTTACCACTACATTTTTGTATATCAATATGATGTAAGATTTTACTCCTTTTTCAATAGTGTTAAGATTTTACCAATATATCAATATAGCGTTTGATTTTACCACTATATCACTTGAGTATCATATTTCCCCTGCACCACTGTGTTAGACATCAGCATCTTTTCACTACAGTGAAATCAGAGCAGTATATGTTAGAGCTCCATAATAATACAGTTCATTTTGTCTGGTTCATCATATTTTGTACAACTGACACTTATTGATTGAAAACAAAGCAATTGTCTTTTATTATATGGCCTGTCTTATCAATTCCGACCTCCATGATCGATCTGAAACTACAATGTATAGTACATAATGGCCACACTTGCATTCTTGAGACATTTATTGATTCTAACATGAAATTTACTTTCACAACCGGTACTGCAGAGCAACACATGCATTAATATTTTTAATAAGAACACAACAGTAAACTGTTATAACAAAAAGCAGCACCACCTTAGTACTGAAAACCAGTTCGATACATGAAAATATCCTTGCTGTTACAGCCATAATTAATAAAAACATTTACCATAATGGATGAAGAATCAGAGTTCACTTAACCCCGCTTCAGCTCCAAGACGACCAAGTGCAATGGTAAGAATTTTCTTCAAAAACTGTTCTTGAGAATGACTGTAGATTATTTATAAATGAAGGTCACCACCACAACTGTACTTCCAATGAATCTCCTATCCTATCTGGAATCATATCTAACTGAAAGCAATAAATCAGAATAATTCCAAAGTCAGAATCAACATCCACAAATATAACTCCCGATAGTTGTACATGTTAAATCATTCCTTTTACGAGCCGATGTGTTTACAACATATCCTGGATCCTTTGTCTGTGTTCCTCCCCCTCTCCTAACCACCACTACATGTACACAACCAGTCGGTGTACCTACTCATCAGGGAGTTTATAGCCACACAATTGGCAAGGTTTCTTACTAACAATAGTAAAAATTCCTTTCACCTGTATATATCCCTAGATTTAAAGTGAATGACTGATCAATGCTCATGAGATCTGTTAACAGGTAGCACTGTAAGTGACCAGTACTAAATATTCCTATGTGTATACCTGCAGGGTCCTTAGTCTGATAGGTGTCATAGAGCTACATACACAGGTAAAAAATACTCTAACCACACAAACAGATGAAATACATCTCAATCTTATTACATAAACAGGTGAAAGATGTCTTAATCTGATTATATCACTACACAGGTAAAACCTTTCGAAGTCTAATCATCTAACATACACAATGTATAAAGACATTGTTAAGAAACCTACAAACAGTTAATATTCATCTCCTTGGCATTACCTTACAAAATTTAAGAAAGAATGTTCTAACCTTAAAATAATTTCAATTTAAATGGTTACAGTGGATAAAAGTAAATATCCTAAATTCCTATAAGTAAATGCCAAACATTATTAAATCTAAAGCGTAAAATGCGGTACATCCTAAAATCTTCCATGTAAAATGTCAAACATTCTTAATTTTTTATATGTAAAAGCTGTACATCCCATAATCCCAATATGCATTGTATATACCAGCACCAAATGTCACATCACCAAGCCATAGGACTTATTCCTTCAGAATAGAACATTTGAAAGATGGATCAGGTTTTTTACCATAGCTATCCACAACAAATTTCAGCACCAGTAACATACATCTACAGAGAACTAGCACTTTAACGACCGATATCCTCACTTCCCACTACTACTGTCGGCATACACATCACAGTAGATAATTCTGTAAAATTTGTCCAATGTACATGTACATGTACAAGGAAGGGAAATGATTTAATTTCATTCAATCTTCAATCAAAAGCATATGTCCAGTTTCGGTCAAATCTGGTTCCATATATATATACACTATGTATCTACTCAACCAGAGAATATGGCCATAAGAAATCCACAAAAGCAGGCAATTAGTAACACTGCGTATCACAGGTTCATCCATAGATCATCAGTGTAGGGCTGTAGTTGTCATATGTACCATCCAAATAAAATCTAGCTGAAACATCAGGCAGAAACATGAACCGTATATCCAAGGAGAACGGTCATGGTCTTCAGAAATATTCTATGACACAATATCAGACTTCCAAACATAATTGAAACACCCTCAACAGCCTATCTGGTACTTCAATACTGCGGGCACATACATGTACATGTAGTGCACCAACAGTCCAAAGGCACATGTACATCATCAATGTGTATCCACATTCCACACGTAGGAATATTTGACCTCATCTTTTACGGATCAAAAATATGATGGACTGAGCTTCATCACACAATGTCTGGACAGCAATGATAGAACCAGGACAGGCATCGACTTGACAAGAAATAAATCTACAGAAGAATGAGAGGCGGAAAGGAAAAGCTCCAGAGATCTGTAGACGACTGGACAAATATATATCCCTGCTCTAGTGGCTGGAGTCTTAACAAGTAGATTGTGTATTCAGTCGTAGGAGGTGTCACTGAAATTTACTCCTACCAGGTATAATAATGTACAGGGATACTGGTCACAGCAACCCGCATAGGTGGTAAGTATCCACAAACAGAGAGCTACATAATCCAGGCAAACTTAGAATTAATATCATGTATGATTCGACAGTCTATCCCAGTCAGCCCACCATTTGTACAATTATGAATCCCTGCCTCCTATGAATGCTTCTGACCAAATATCGTTAATAGCAATATAGCCAAATTGCCCCCTTTTGGACCCTCCCATCAGCCCTCTGGGGGGTCAGCCCAACCATTTGTACAATTTTGAATCTCCACTACCGAGGGATGCTTCCAGTCAAATATGGTTGATATCTATCTCTTAGTTCCAGAGAAGTCACTTAAATCAATATAGCACAATTGCCCCCTTTTGGCCCCGCCCCTCAGGTCCCTGGGGGGCTGGACCCACGGTTTATACAAAACATGGAACAAATCCTTTCATTCCTACAGAATACCTGTGTGTAAGTTATCTCCCTTTAAAACTGTCAATTATAAACATTATTTAAGAAATCAGCCCTATACGTACGTTAACAACCACTGTAGTGTTGTGTGAACAACTTTCCAGACAAGATTCCAGTAGTAATCAAGTCTAAATACCACCAGCAAAACATATTTTACAGGTTTCTTTGTTGTGAAAATCCTCAAGAAAGGAGATAGTAAAAAGTGGTTCATTTACATACAGCATACACCCTTAAAATGGACATCAACTATGATAGTAGTTTTCCGTACAAGGCTGGCCGTCGTCGAGGTGTTGAGCAACAATGCCACCCCATACATCACAGGCCATGCTTATTCAATTACACACACAATCACACAGATATAGCGCACCGACATCGTCTTGCTAATGAAACTCCTCTTACAGTAGTCACCAATGTTAAAACGTGCTCATTTACATCAAAACTGGCTTCATCAAATTAAGAAGATTAGAATTTCGATTGTTTTCCATTTTGCAAAAGCCTGGTATCTGTAGGTCAGACACATGCATATATATAAGTTTAACAATAAGCTTCGTTTTAGAGCACTTGGATCAATACAACAAGATATTCTGTGAGAGGGCGCACTCCATACCATTGGTGGCAGCATAACGCATAATACTCGGGGGCTGGTACAATTCAATTAATACCATATGGAATCATATATAATTCAAAACCGTACATCTGAAATCATGTACATGCATTGCTGTTTATGGTAATAAACCATTAACTCATTCAGCCCTGAAGACACATTTGAACTCTTCCAATTCAAAGGTTGGAATAAATCATTATGAAATTTCAGGGGTGAATGAGTTAAACAAAATATGACATTCCAACTACTCCAGACACAGATCTATCAAGGCTGATTATACATGTACTATAGAATTAGGGAAATTTGATACAAATAATTGATTTTTTCGGGAACATTTATTCCTAAACATTTACTCCTTTTTTTGCAGTGATATTGCACAAGTACACGTAAACTAACATTTTATAGTACTAGCCAATGGGCATGTTTTGAAAAACAACCTTCTAGTTCAACTATATTTTTATATATAGTAAATATCGAATTTTTTCGTGGATTTAGCAGTTGTTAAAATAACCAGAAAGCCATTTCTGGACTAAAATATGCTTTTAACAAGCTTAATTGTGGTTTTAAAATACCCTTCTTGAGAGAATGAAATTGAAATGTCTCCCCAAATTGTATGACATTGTGGCCATCTTGAATTAATATTTTTTCTAAAAAGTCATGACATAAACTTTTTAGCTCTGAATTTAACTTAAAGCATAATTTCCAATGCATTACTGTTTTTTTGATATTTATAAATATAAACAAATGCTTATATGTCAACTCCATCCGATAAGAATTTGAAGAATTTGAATGTGCAACAAGATCATTCACAGTTACTTATTACTCTACTGCCTTCTGTTGTGATGCTGTTTACCACGGACGGTTATCATCACCCTCCAACCCCAACCAAATATTCTGCCTTACCACTGACGGTTATCATTACCCTCTAACCCCAACAAAATATTCTGCCTTACCACTGACGGTTTTCATCACCCTCTAACCCCAACAAAATATTCTGCCTTATCACTGACGGTTTTCATCACCCTCCAACCCCAACCAAATAGTCTGCCTTACCACTGACGGTTTTCATCACCCTCCAACCCCATCCAAATATTCTGCCTTACCACTGACGGTTATCACCACCCTCTAACCCCAACAAAATATTCTGCCTTATCACTGACGGTTTTCATCACCCTCCAACCCCATCCAAATATTCTGCCTTACCACTGACGGTTATCACCACCCTCTAACCCCAACAAAATATTCTGCCTTATCACTGACGGTTTTCATCACCCTCCAACCCCAACCAAATATTCTGCCTTACCACTGATGGTTATCATCACCCTCCAACCCCAACCATATAGTCTGCCTTACCACTGACGGTTATCATCACCCTCTAACCCCAACAAAATATTCTGCCTTACTACTGACAGTTATCATCACCCTCTAACCCCAACAAAATATTCTGCCTTACCACTGACGGTTTTCATCACCCTCCAACCCCAACCAAATACTCTGCCTTACCACTAACGGTTATCATCACCCTCCAACCCCAACCAAATATTCTGCCTTACCACCGACGGTTATCATCAGCCTCCAACCCCAACCAACTATTCTGCCTTACCACTGATGGTTATCATCACCCTCCAACCCCAACCAAATACTCTGCCTTACCACTAACGGTTATCATCACCCTCCAACCCCAACCAAATATTCTGCCTTACTACTGACAGTTATCATCACCCTCCAACCTCAACCAAATATTCTGCCTTACCACTGACGGTTATCATCACCCTCCAACCCCTACCAAATATTCTGCCTTACCACCGACGGTTATCATCACCCTCCAACCCCAACCAACTATTCTGCCTTACCACTGACCATTATCATCACCCTCCAACCCCAACCAAATATTCTGCCTGACACTGCTCACCATACCACAGGTAATTTCATAAAATCCTGTCTGCATCTGCACGCCTTTTCAAAAATCAGCGGCTATACATCTATATCTAGAAAAACTATACAAACAAATGTAATATTGGACAATTACCTCTGCAGCTAATTTCATTTGCTCAAATTCTGTAAGTTTTGTCGGGGGCTGGTGGTTGAGGTTCAAGTTATCCCCTTGGACATTGCTATGTGTGCTGGACGTGGCCACGCTGGAAGGTTGAGATGATCGCGACTGACCCGTGTTGTTGCTGTACTTCTGGCCATTCTGAGCTTCCTCCTGACCTCCACCAGATAACAACTTGTCCCACTCTTTTTCACTGAAACACACATGAACATTGATATCATATACATTCTATATCCAGGTGTGCACCATACATTTACCTGAAAATTACAAAAGATATGAAAAGTGCTTGTAAAACAGTGTCTTTTGTTCAATTATCATATACTTGCAAACCTTTTGAAATTTCCATGGAGGATATTACATGAATTCTGAATTAAGAACATAAATAAAATAAGTGTATGTACACTCAAGAGATAAAATAACACTTTTAAATTGCATCATTTGAGCTGTTCTTTCAGATGAAATCATCAGATCTTTGAAAATAGGAATAGTTTAGCAAATTCATTGGTTGAAAATGCTAAATTTTAGGGCCCAAAATCGGGAGTCTCCCTCCTTAATATGGAGAGTTGGCAAGTATGAATTATTATTTATTTGTTTTGTTTTGTCTATAAAACATTAGCATTAATTTATTGACAATTAATATTTATTAAGTTACCAATAATCTATAGAATCACCAGGTCCAGGGTCATGATATTTGGTCTATAGCATGCTGGAACCACAGGGTAAGCACCTGAAAAAGACAGCTCTTGCAAAGCCAGTCTTATCATTTAGAATTTATATACTACAGACACTCGAACCTGGTCTATCAGATAAAGAATTCTTATAGGCAAACTGAAATTTTAAAAGATCGCAGAATTTGACCAAGGAGATCACAGTGCTTGTTATCCAAATCAAAGAAATATTTGTAAGACCTTGTAATAAAGGATGAAAAGTACTTTTAACATAACATGTTTCCCCCCACACATGGTGTAGCTGATCTTATTGAACTATACACAACATAGGCAGGCGCGTAGCTGCCACGTAAGCAAATAAGCAGTTGCATGCACATCAAAAATTCAAATATACTATTATATTTTTATTTATTTATGTATTTTGTAGTTCGGAAAAGTGATTAAATGATATGTGGTTCAATTGAAAAACATAAAATTTAACCACGGAATTAGATTGTTATCTAAGTCCGTGATTTAACTGTATAACCGACAGCCGACAATCATTATGTATCCGGAAGTTCCAACCTAGAGTACCTGGTGCCGATTTTATTATTAGTATTTTTAAAGTTGTCAACATCGGAAACATGCATGGCTGCAAATCCAACGAAAAACCCGAATCATCTTCGAAGAACAAGTTGATACATGACATCTTCCAAGCAGCTGTAGGTTCACATGAAACAAAATCCTCTTGCGACATTAACTTAGGCATCGACGAGTCTAAAACGGCTATTAGTATTAGGGCCTAGTAATGCCGGACCGAACACAGTTCTGATCAGTCTCAGTGGCGGACCTAGGGGTGTTGCCCTAGTTGCCCGGGCAACACCCTTTTTTCTGTGTTCAAAAATAATCTGGACTTAGGTTTTTGAAGATTTTCCTCTTTTTCATATGGGATTTTCTTTTTATATCAACCATCCTGTGAACTATGATTTTCTATGGCAAGCAGCAGTTTGAATATCTATATATGCCTAAGGGTAAATAAGGAGTCCACTACTTATACTCTAAACAATAGGGAATTAATCCTTTTTTGTTTATGTTTATATATTAGTAGGGTCTCCAGTCAGGTCAGTGGTGAAGGCTCAACAGACTGTCTTCCTAATTGTATTGTTCTAATGTCACGGTGTGGTGATCACCCTGTTCGTGGAGAGAGGATAAAACCATCTGTTGGAATTAGGTATATATATATGTTACTTGTTATTTCAAAGGTAGAGTCCATTTCATGACAGATAAACCTGTATTTTCACTGGTTTCATGTACACATGATCACCAGGAGTGATTTATTATACCTGTTAAAAAATGTAAATTTCAAAAATTTCAAACACAGTAAAGCATCCACCTTAGCGTCACGTTATCAGGTGAATAATAACCAATGTTAGCATAAAACCCTGGCATGTATATATATATCTTTTTTAACAGGTGTTGCCCTTGTACATATGCATGCATACAAATTCACAATAAAAGACAAACAGTCAAATCATAATTCATTTTTATGACAAACTAAATCAATATTTAATTGCCAAAATCCTCGCCTAAACTACATGCACATGAAAGGCATGACACAAACATCAACATTTTAACCAAAAACCTACATTTTTACCATTGTTTCAGAGAATTTGTTAACACTCGCTCCGCTCAGCCATCATCAAAAATATAATAGTATTACATTAGTCATTAGTATTACATCTTCAGAAAAAAAGAATTCGCCTCGCTCTGCTCGACAGGGAAATTATAATTGTCACAATCTCAGAAATAATGAAGTTCTATATATTGTTTGGTGCCAGAAAGTAGTATACATGTACAACCGACATGACAATTATAATTTATTAGTTTTTTTGAGTCTTCTGAGTTTGAAATTTTGGCCAACACCCAAAATTAATTCCTGGGTCCCCCCCCCTGTATTGTCTTTAGAAATAAGTTGAAAGTATCATAATACTAGGATATATACCTGCATGGCAACAGACAAAGAAAGATGCAAGCAATGGGTTATGTAAGATTTTGGCCCAGGTGAGTTTATAAAATCTTTTGGATTATTTTAATTATTTTGAATACAGATATTTTTTGTTTCTGATTTTAGGATTTTATTATCTAAAANATGCGCGTATAAGGATCCATCTGAGTTTTACATTCACTTCGCCTGCCAATGAGATATGAAAAAGGCAAAGCCTCAAAAGTCAAAAAAAGCCACGTACATGTAGCTTTTGCTAATCTGTGACATTACATAGGCCGTCATTTGTCCCGGTCATGAACTGATAAAGTATGTTTTTCAGAGTAGTCCTAGGCCTATCTTCAGTAGAGCTACTGGATATATATGTATACATATATCTAAACATCGATATAGGAGCTACCGTCATCTTATGTTCTGAGAAACGTGATGATATAAAAAGGGTTTGGGGGACACAAGGGCAAAAAATCTGAAATTAATCTGTTTATATTGGCTCCGACATTTTAAATATCTAGTTAATTTAGATTCATCAGGAAAGAGATATGACGCAACGGATAATTTCGGGTAATTCCAACAATCGACACATTTTTTTTGTCGGAGAAAAAAAGGAGAGCTGTCTTTCGCATTTGAAATACATTTGAACTTTTGCGATGCTTTCCAATAATAAAGTGATGAATCAACCAAAAAATGTTGTCTGTAAAATAAATTAAAACACTCAAATATGTATCTAAGGTATCTAAAAAGCAACCAGATGGCACGACAGAGCTTCTAGATCTAAAAAAAATCGGGGGGATGGGTGGGCATGCCCCGTACCCCCCTAGAATGGCTTCGCGCCTTTGGCGCTCGCATTCACACCTTTGGTGTGACTTTCTGCATGCACATCCAAATGAGCCCAGCTACACACCTGATAGGGAGTATCTTTAAAGACAACTTATTTTATGAATTAAAGGATTCCTATAGACCCACGTATATGGCAATTGTCTATGGGACCACTGTTAAGGTCAAACACTGCAAAGTCCCCTGAATATATTGTATGTATGTCAGATAGTGCGATAGAACAGTTCCTTTTGAGACTAGTCACTATTTAAAACAGTGGCGGATCCAGAGGCTTCAGGAACACCCCCCCTCCCCCCCCCTCCCCCNTTTAAAAATCATGTATTTTCACCATTTTCCTCAATTATTCCCCACATGGAACCCCCCCCTGGAAATTTGGAAACCCCCCCAGATAAGTCTCTGGATCTGCCACTGTAAAACGCTGTATTTATTTATTCATTTTTGTCCTACCGATGCCATAGAACCAGTGCTTCTTGGGCAATGTAATGGTGTTACCATATTTTTCCAGCAGTTAGCCCATGTCTGGTAAAAATTCCCCTGATATCTATTGTAGACTAGTAGAAATGCCAACTAAAACTATATTATTATCCTGTAATATGCCCCGCCCCTCAACTCATTCACCCCTGTAGATACATTTGAACTCTTCCAATTCAAAGGTTGGAATTGTTTATAATCAAATTTCAGGGATGAATGTGTTAATTAGAGTAGAAGTACATGTATAACTATCGTAGATAAGTAGAATATCTACAGTCATGGGCTTGTAGCTGTAAAAATACGTTAACGCTAGTACATATGCATCATACATAGATATATGCAACGTCCATCATGTTATAAATTATTGCTGAAAAAACTTTTTTAATTATTTTATTTTTAAATTAAATGAGACAGCAGTAGCTTATATTCAAACATGGATGACTTTTCAAAATGACATAACATACCACTTGATTTTGGCATTTTGCCAGATTATCGATTATGACCATGTGTAATTAATATTAAAAAATTGTCATCATCGTCCGTGGGCGTATGTTACATATTAACTATTTATTTAAACTATTTTCAATGACAATTATACAGCCAAACATCGCAACATTGAAGTGATAACATTACCGATTACGCAGTCCCTATCGGTATTGTTTATATATGGAACCAACATCCCTCAGCTAATATGATTTATCATTTGTAATTTACACCAAGTGTTATTTCAAAATATTAATAAATAATTACCAAAGTAAGACAATTACATTGCACTGTACATGTAGAGTAGCCTACCAAGAATCAATTAAATGTTAGAAATTGTGCTGTGCATACAATAATAACTCGACACCTTTAGCTAGCTACCAGAGCCTCGTGTGTCATGATGTTGATCGGGGCAATCCTATAACCTCATTGCTTTGTTAATGTATAGTGTATTGTACTTGTTCTCCAACAGAATTAAGGGAAGGATACTTTAATTCTCCTGGAGGGTGGTAGGAAGACTCATTTCCTCCTGGGTTTGACAGGCTTTTTCCTTTCTCAGGGGTTTAACAGAATAACAGCCAAACACCTTATATATTACCCAATACCCATAGCATGAAGCCATGCTTTGGTGCCATACAGTTATAATAAATGGTTATATAATATGTAGTTAAAATGAGTTAGTTATTTTCTTTGCTTGCATTACTGTCATTATATATATATAACTAGTTGCTTATCATCATTATAATAATTTACAGT